TTATATATAACTATAGAATATATATATTTATATATAATTTATACTTATATACATATATAGGCATACCAAACCCAAGAAAACCCATTGCCAGCAAGTTGATTCTGACTCATAGCGACCCTAAAGGACAAAGTAGAACTTCCCCATAGTGTTTCCAAGGAGTAGCTGGTGGATTTAAACTGCTGACCTTTTGGTTAGCAGCAAAACGCTTAACCACTGTGCCACCAGAGCTCCTATATAGTCATATACGTATATACATATAAATTATATATGTATGTATATGATACTTACTCACACTTATATTCTTTCAACAAGTTCCAGAACTGCCAAGGGTACATGTAGCCAAGAAATGTATGTGATATTCATCTCAGAATAATCCGTAAAACAAATCTGAAGCTTTCACTCCATGACCTGAAGAAGTCTAAAGCCCTCTCCACAATACTTACCAATTCTCGAGGGCATGTTTTCCTACTTCCAATTCCTAGCATCTGTGTTCCTACGAGCAGTCTCTCTTTTGCCATCATCAGCCTGGAAGTAAATTTAGTCCTTTCACTGTTTTATACACACACACATACACACACAATCAAATTCAATATTCTGGAATAAAATGGATCTTTATGGATCACGTGGGTAATTCGTATTGCATGTAGCTGGCACCTTCCACCTTCCTCTTTTGTTTTGTTTTTTTTCTCCGTTTCCTCATCTTTTTATCTCTAATGTTTTTTCTATAGATGCAAATTCCTCCCCTTTTGCCACACTACAAGGCAGTTTATTATAAGATAATCATTTATTGCTTAGAGTCTGATTCCTTGAAAACTTAGGGCTTGCATATTCTATGTAAGATATATACACATAGTTTTCCTCCTTAGATGGATTATCGTGTCAGTAGTCTAAGGTAAAAAAAAAAAAAAAAAATTGCATTTCATCACCTGATATTCAGTTGTGTATGGCAGCCTGATGAGTGTTCGACCTCATGAGTTGCACAAGTGGCTTGTGATCAGCTGCTAACTAAAACTTGTCATTTCAAACCCATCCAGCAGTGCCACAGAAGACAAGCCTGACAATCTGATTCTATAAAGATTACAGCCAAAAAACCCTACGAAGCAGTTCTACTCTGTAACACATGAGACCACCATGAGTCAGAATCTATTCCATGGCAACGGGTTTGGGAGTAGGCTGGCACCATATGAAACTTAAATCAGCTAAGGATTCTTTCAAAGAGATTCTATACATAATCGCTGGCCGTAGTAGAGTATCTTTTCTAATTTCATTTTAGGTATTGATTTTCCAACTGTCACATAAATGATAATTGCCAGCCACTACTCGGAAACCCAACAAAAAATCGCTTTTAGTGGGACAAAGAAGACGTGTTGTTCTTTACAGTCTTATGTAGCTCAACTGTCTGCAGCATCAAAGTGGGGGATTTGTTAAAGGACAGCTAGAGACTTCCCAGCAAATCACATTTCCATAACCTGCTCAAGCCCAAGCATCTGGACCCCACTGCCACAAAAGCAATTCCTGCTGATCTTCTTTACCTCTTAAACCTTATGTAAATGTCTCTCACTGGTGGACTATAACATGGAACCCTGCTGTGAGGAATTCTGGGAAATGTGATTCCATGGCTTTTAGCTCCTGTAGCAAAAGAGGAACATAGAAAGATAAAAATGTCACAGTTACCAGCAGACAATTAGCAATACAAATTAGAAAAAAATTATGTAACAGAAAAGGACTACTATGTCGCTTTAAAAAGGGCCATAAATAGCTTGGAAAATAGAATTCAGTAAGACCGTTTTCGTGCCCATTGATGAGTTCCAGTGGAGTCCTGGAGGGCAGCTATTAAACAGTGGGATTAAATACGTTTTTTCAGCCTTGTAGAAACATATGAATCAGTGGGAACCCCACCTCCTGAAAGAGCGGGATCTGATAAAAATGAAATCGCTCGTAATAAAGGTTAATTAATTTTTAGTAAACGTTAGGCCTCTGCATTATATAATATTAGATTTCTGTAATATTGAAACTACATGATGAACATATGATATGTAGATAATTCTGCTGTAAAGCAGCTGAGTATCTATCAGCACTAAACTTTCTTGTAGTAAAGCTAGTTCACTAATATTTTTCAGGGTCCTCAATCTCCTTGATAAGCATATAGCAAAATCCCTACTTATATTTTATTCTTGAGCACTGACTTAGCTCATTTTAGTCCAAAAAAGTAAATTATCTAAAATACAGAGTGTATATGGGTCAAAATCTTATCAAACTTTTAAACATGCTTTTATTTAATACATATTCCACCAAAGATTATTTCCCTGAATAACAAGTGGCAAAAACTATCCCTTTAATTCCAGCATCTACTTTTGTTTTAGGCAAATACTACATAATAATAAAATAACAATAGTGGTAATAATAGTTAATATGCATTGCATACTTACTAAGGGCTAGGTAGCCTTCTTTTATATGCATTGTCTAATTTTACCTCCACAGCACTATTGATACCGGCACCGTATTTACCCTCATTTCAAAATTTAAGAAATTGAAGTACAGAGTTCAATACCCTGCCCAAGTTTGCGCAGCTAGTAAGAGGTGGATATGGATTTCAAACCTAGACAGCCTGGATCCAGGACCCATGCTTCCAATCACTAATTCTTACTGAAAGAAACTGTTCTCTCAAATTACTTAATGGTTTTACAATGCAACATGCTTATAGAATAATGGTTTTACAATGAAATATGCTTATAAAATAATGCAAATGTATTAGTTACAGTCCATGCCTCCATAGAAACATAACTTTAGAAACTTCGCTTCTTCTGTAGGATGCAGAGCAATAAAAAGATTTTGTTTGTGCTGTAACTGCTTGAGTTGCAACTTTTCATTGAAATTATGTCATCCCTGTCTGTCAAGTAGCAATACACTAAGAGCTATCTCACTAAACTACTCTAAATAAACAAATTTCACAGACAACTCTAATTGATCAAACTTCATGAACACTGCAGACACAACAAGCTGTTTATGAGATCCAAAAAGAGAGATAATCCTAGGAAGCCTGGGCCACTATGAAGCACTGTTGAGACATTCTTACACAGGGCACTCCCAAAAGGGATGTGAATGTACTCTTTTCTCACATGCATGCATGTATTTAAAATAAATATTACTGACAGCTCTGAGCATTCAGAGCTTTGCAATAAATATTAGGGAAAAATATCAGTATTTGGATTGTCCAACAGATATAGTGTAACAAAAGAAAAGGAATTGCCTGTGGGTTTCAAGAAGAGAAAAACAGTAGGGAAGCCCATTGCACAATGTTGCTAGCCATATTTTAAAAGCTGGTACTTATTTCATATCATCCACTGATTCCTAGTTTCCATGGATTCCCAAATTAACAGCCTCTAAAGAAAATACTGATAATATGAAAGGACAGGTTTTGCTGTTACAAACTAAATAGCATAATCATGCTTTCATTTTTTGCCTGTATTTTATTTGGATTATATTACCAAACAACATAAAAAGAAAGAGCTATTTCCTCCTAATATTAAAACAGATGCTTTGGTAGAGACATGTCAAATGTGTATTTTATGAATGCTTATAACAAGTAGAAAAATAACTGTATAATTCCTCATTTCATTATTTTTCATCCTTTTTATTATTCACACATTTTACTAGTTTTAAGAACTGATTTTTTATACTTTCCCTAGTTTAAATTTGCACACATTAATGGAAACGCTGAAACAAAATATGATGACAAAAATGATTCTTAAATAATACCCAAGACTGACTTTATCTATTCCTTGCAGGCACAGCCTTAACATATCATAAGATGTGAACTCTATTTAGCTGACATTTTGGTGGTGTAAGTGTTTTTCACAACTAATCAGCACCTGAATAATCAAAGGTGTGTACAATCCATCGGCTTTAATGATACATTAAAATACTTTAATGGGACTTAGGGTAATTAGAAAGTCTCTTATTGCGGTTCATCTACTAACAAGAACGTATTCAGGATTAATAGTAATGGAGTAAATTTCCCAAAAAGGAAGGGGCTTATACTTCACTTCGGCAATCCCATTTGTAAAACCAGAATTGTTTTCGTGTGCTTCAGGGGTATTGGTTATAATTAATGATTAAACTGTTATGAAGTATTAATAGTTGCTTGGTTGAAATTATAAGTCTGTTTTTCTCCTTAAGGATCAGTCATAAGAAAGGAAAGGAAACAAACAAACAAAGTAGAGTTTTCTGTAGAATCAAAATTACTTTTGAAGAATTTGGTACCACAGAGAAAATATATTACCTTATAGGTTGGTATTTATCTTATCACGTCCTTAAGGATATTGTAGGATGAGTCTTCTTCACTATGTGTTAGGGGATAGCTTGTGTATTATATTTTAACAAGATTAAGTTGGTAGGATTGATATTCAACATTACTTTCATTAGTGTTTGAAAATCAACCATTTTTTTTCCAACAATGGATATTAATTCATCTGAAAAACAGGAGAATTATTAAATGGTCTTTTTAGACCCTGAAGTATTGACCATGTCTCGCAATTAATTTTTTTATCCAATATCTATTCTCTTTATTTCTTACTTATAGAATGTCTGTTTTATTTGAGGTGGCAACATATTATATATAAATAAATAATAAATAAATACCCAAATTTACCAACATAATATGCTGCTAGCAGTGGTCAGTGACTAGGCCAATGAGATGATAGATGTTCGTGAAAAAAATATTCTGCTAGAAACTTTGTCCTTTATTCCACCCTTCCTCCTCCTTGAGATTAGGAACTGGAGCTCTGGTAGCATTTTCTTCAATGAATTCATCATGTTGGTGGATCCAGAGGACGACAGAGCAGAGAGAAGGAAGAAATCTAGGTTCCTGAATAAGAAGGAGCTTCACACAAGCCCTAAACTTCTGACACCGACTTATTTTATGTGAGGGAGATATAAATGGTTGTCTTGTTTAAGCAACTGCAATTTTTTCTGTATATAAACAATGAGAAGTTAAATATCTGAAGCCAATTAAGCCAACTGATCTCCTTCCCTGTGGGGGCAGGAGTGCAGTGGCTGCAAATAGCGGCCTCCTCAGTAGTGTATGCAACATTGCACATATGGGTTGCCCTAAGGGACCTTGGAGACAGCCCTTTCGTTTTCTTAATGTCTCTGACCTGATTAGTCTCTGCTGTCCCTAATCTAGGCTCCAGATAGGTATGCGAGATGCCTTTGGGAAAACCCGGGGTACAGTGGCCAGGGTCCACATTGACCAAGTCATTATGTCCATCTGTACCAAGCTTCAAAACAAGGAACATGTGATTGAGGCCCTATGCAGGGCCAAGTTCAAGTTCCCTGGGTGTCAGAAGAACAACATCTCCAAAATGTGGGGCTTTACCAAGTTTAATGATGATGAGTATGAAGATATAGTGGCTGAAAGAGCCTCTTCCCACATGGTTGTGGAGTTAAATACATCCCCAGTCATGGCCCCTTGAACAAGTGGCAGGACCTGCATTCATGAAGCCCTTGGTAGCACTGCCTCACCTGACCCGTGCCCACCAATAAATTGACCTTCCTGTCTCTATGTTGCCCATTGTCATGGATTGAATTGTGTTCTCCAAAAATATGTGTATCATTTTGGCTAGGCCATGATTCCCAGTATTGTGTGATTGTCCACCATTTTGTCATCTGATGTGATTTTCCTATGTGTTATAAATCCTACCTTTATGATGTTAACGAGATGGGATAGGCAGCAGTTGTGTTAATAAGGCAGGACTCAATCTACAAGATTGGATTGTGTCTTGAGGCAATCTCTTTTAAGATATAAAAGAGAGAAGCAAGCAGAGAGATGGGGGAACCTCAACCACCAAGAAAGCAGCCCTGGGAGCAGAGCGAGTCCCTTTGACCCAGGGTTTCTGCTAGGAGAAGCTCCTTGTCCAGGGGAAGATTGATGACAAGGACCTTCCTCCAGAGCCAACAGAGACAGAAAGCCTTCCCCTGGAGCTGATGCCCTGAGTTTGGACTTCTAGCCTACTAGACTGTGAGAAAATAAATTTCTCTTTGTTAAAGCCAAGCATTTGTGGTATTTCTGTAATAGCAGCACTAGATAACTAAGACCCATCAATAAATTGAACTTCTGTCTCAAAAAAAAAAGAAAAGTTAAATATATGGTAGTTTATAAAAAAGAAAGTAATAAAACAAGCAAATAAATTAAACAATATGTAATAGAAGACAAAAGAAAATTGTGAAATAACAAAAACTAAATTTACTACAATCTAAAATTAAATAATAAAAATTAAAGTCAATAAAATGAAGTTATATTGCAAATAACTTTAAATAATAAAAATAAAGTACATTCAGAAATAATAAGAAAAAGAATAATGTTAAAAGATAAGAATTGTGAAAAGCCTAAAATATGAAGATCCTAAAGTGTTAAAAACATGAGCGGAAAACTGGAATGAGGATACAATAAATAAATAAATATGTAGATATCAATAATCCAGTTGCCACCAAGTCGATTCCCAATCATGGCAACCACATGTGTGTCAGACTAGAACTGTGCTCCAAAGGTTTTCGTGTCTAATTTTTTGGTAGTAGTTCTCTAGGACTTTCTTCTGAGGCACCTCTGGGTGGACTCCAACTTTAAGCTTTCAGTTAGCAGTGGAGTATATTAACTGTTTACATCACCCAAGGACTCTACATACATATATACATACATACATAGTAAGCTAAGTGAGAATAAAAATTTTTAAAGTTCAATTTGTAATATTTTAATTGCAAAAATTAGATGTTAAAATACTTAACAAAAAGCAAAATAATAAGGATTAAAAGTTGATGCTGTTATTAGATAGATGTAATAAATTATGCTAAAAATATTCAAAATACAATTATTTTAAGAAATGTGCTGTTTTATATTTCATTTTTATTCTTAAAATTTGGCCTTATGTTTATTTTGTATTTATTTTTTTAATTTATGCTGTCAAAGTTTAAGTTCTCATTTTAACTCTTAAAATTATTTTTTAACTGTGTATATTTTACAATTTTATGGGGTGAATATTATAATTTAAAAAAAATTTCTCTTTCTCAGTTTAAAAATTGTAGGCAGGAAACTGGTTGAGATAGGGTAAGAAGTGACTTTTAAAACAAGACTAGATTTTTTTTCCTCTAACAATTCATAGGACTTTAAATGTGTGTTATTATTAGATATTATTATTAGAACATATTGGTTTAGTTCATTTGCATTCTAGTATCAGCATATAGAGGTGTGTAGGAAAAGAATTCTCAGGATAATGTGGGAGCAGGGACGCATAAGCTTGTAAAAAGAAGACACTGAGCAATTTAAGCAAATGGGGGATATGATCACATACATATCTAGTATACATACACAAACACACACACTCACATATATATAAAACTCATTGCCAATGAGTCAATTCTGACTCAGAGTGACCTTATAGGCAGAGTAGAACTGCCCCATAGTTTTTCCAAGGAGTGGCTGGTAGATTTGAACTGCCGGCCTTTGGCTAGCAGCAAAATGCTTAACACTGTGCTACCAGGGCTCCACATATATGTATTATCTATTTTATTGCTGTTTAGTGAATTCATTACAGGAGACCAAAAGTGCAAAGAGACACATCAGACAGCTATTTCAGAATTTTAAGAAAAAGATAAATATGATCTGACTTAAAGCGGTACAGTAGAGGTGGCCAGACCAAGGACCAAATACAATAGGGGGCTACAAACAACAACAGTTGCTTATAGATGTGAAAAATGGCGTACTCAATGCATATATAGATAGTTGGGTATTGGAGTCTGGAATTCAATCTAGATGACCTTTGAGAGTCATCACCTAGAGTTGAGATTTAATGCTGCTGGAATGAGTGAAAGAGAACAGAAAAAAGAAAAAGTTGCCAGCTTCCAATGGACTTCCAAGACAGTCCACATATAATGGCTATGTTTAGGGAATGCTACTTGTTTTAGGCTGGGTTCTCTAAAGAAACAAAACCAGTAAAGCCTATAATCATACTTATAGAGAGAGATTTATATCAAGGAAATGGCTCACACAGTTGTAGACACTGGAACGTCTCAAGTCTGTGGGTCAGGCTAGAGGCTTCTCCTGATTCATGTAGCCACAGGGGCTGGCAAACCCAGTATCAGCAAGTCAGACAGCAGTGCTCTTGCTCACAGGCTGCGAAGACTGATGAATCCCAAGTTTGGCAGGCAAGATGGCAGGTAAGCAGCTAGCTCAAGTCCCAAGAACTGAAGGTCAGAAGAACAGGAGCCAGCTGCAGGATCCAGAACTAGCAAAAGCCAGCAAGCCTTGCCAAAAAGCCCACCTATATTGGATACAGGGCACAGCCCCAAGGAAACTCTCATTCAATTGGTTGGCTACTCACATCATGGAGGTGATCCCATTATATCAGATCTCATCATGGAAGTGATCACATCATCGTACAACTACCAAACTACATCATAATTTCCAAACCACTAAGAATCATGGCCCTGCCAATTGGACACACACAATTTTAACAATCACGCTACTTAAGGCAATCAATTATGAGAGAAAGTATCTTGCAGAAGAAGCTCAGAGAAAAAAGAATTTCAAGAACAAAGTAGTGACCAGGTGCGTCAAACACACACTCTCTCTCTCTCTCAGTAAACTGAGAGGAATAAAAGTTTCAGTGGATGTGGCAATATGAGGCCTTTGTGACCTTGATGAGAGTAATTTCAGTAAAGGGCTGGAGAAAAATCTAGGTTAGATTGGTAGAGTGGTTTGAAAAGCAAATGGAAAGTGAAGTGGTGGATCTATAAAGCACAGGTAATACTTTTGAGCAGCGTTGCTGTAAAGACGGTAGAAGAAGATAATGGGTGAGAAGGCAATGTAGTTTTAAAATATTGGAGTTAACAGGACATATCATTATGCTGATCTGAATGTCAGGAAAGAAGATCTTGAGTAAACAATTGGGAACGAGATATAAGGGGAATTGTGGAGTAGCAAATTTACTCATGTTGTACTTTGATGAGGGAACTCTGGTGGTGCAGTGGTTAAGCACTAGGCTGCTAACCGAAAGGTCGGCAGTTCAACCTCCAGCAGCTCAGAGGAGAAAGATGTGATAGCCTGCTTTTGTATAGGGTCGCTATAGGTTTGCTATGAGATGTAATTGACTCAACAGTAACGGTTTGGTCTTTTGGTTTTTGGGTACTTTGATGGGCAGAGAAAATATGGTTTATTTTCTCTAACTGATGTGATTCTTCTTAAGGTCCTCCCATCCTATTAAACTAAGTTTTTCCAATAAAAATGTCCCCAGTTCTTTCAGATTCAAACAATACCTTTTCAATTTATAACTTCTGTCAATTCAGAGCTCTACTTCCTGTTGAAGTTGGTTTAGTCTCCATTGGATGGCTTATCTGTTGTCATCAAGTTGATTCTGACTCATAGTGACCCTACAGGACAGAGTACATCAGCCCCATAGGATTTCCAAAAGGGTAGCAGCCGAGTGATTATCCACTATATAACCAGGGCTCCCTTTGGATGGCTTTGTATATCAAATTTTTACTGTCACTCACCTGTCCCCAAGGTACTATTTGAGTATGGGGGGGGGAGGTGGGGAGGGACAAGTTTACTGTGTCTTTAAGATGAGGTGGGAGTGAAAACCATATCCTCCCATTCTCCTTTGAATTTTTTTTTTCTTCCGTATCTCTGCTGCTGGTGTCCACTCAGACGTGACTGGTTATGTTACTACACCAGTAGTCCTGAACAGTTTATCTGGCCTAAGATCTATGCCTGTGGCATTTGCTTTCTCCTCTCCGCATGTAGGTTTGTCAGTATACATAATAGTTCGGTGTCGCTTCACCGGAGCATGCAGGACATACTGAGTATCCTGAATTGGACATGGAAGCAGGGATACTGCCTCCATTCCTTCTCTCTAGGTTCCTCCTACCATGCTATGCTATTGCTCCCACACCACCTGAGACTTGGAGTCAAGTCTATGTTTCAAATTCTCCTAAGCTCCTGTATTTCCCCTCTTTAGGTCCAGGAAAGAAAGACATTAGCCTGAAATCATCAATTTCTCCATATGTAAATATATGTAAAGTATTTTTTCTACCATTAATAATAAGTCCTGGTATCAGACTTCCTCATTTTCACTCTCT